CTGACTCGCTTTGTTCTTCTGCGTGGGGGGTGGGGGTTATGATATTACCCCCGCTGTTCTGGCGTCCTGACTCCTCCTTGCCGTAGCATATGTAGCACTTTCTAGGTCTAGGACCCTACAGACACCCCAGGCAGGAATCGAACTTGTGACTCCCACTACAAAGATGTGTAGTCTTACCGCTACGCTATCCAGCTGCTGTCTATGACTGTATCTATGGTCCCTTCTAAAGTCCAGGTCTTTATCAGCTTGACTTCTGATAAACAAGAAGTCAAGCTGCTGCTGTCCTGATGTCAGAATTTTGAAAGCCCCCCAGGCAGGAATCGAACTGCTGACTCCCACCACAAAGGTGTGTAGTCTTACCACTACGCCACCCAGTTGCTGTCTATGAATGTATCTATGGCCCTTCTAAAGTCCAGGGGCCCTGATGTCCCCCCCGCTGTGTAGCTCGGGGCAAGAGACCAAAAATGACCAGTAAAGTCTTCCTTGCAGGATTCAATAAAGAGCAGTCATGTCGGAGGTGATGTGATGACATCTGATAAACAAGAAGTCAAGCTGCTGCTGTTTGAACTAGCTCCAGGTGATGTACTTGTTTTATAGTGCTATGCTCTCACTTGTATTCTGTATGCTGCTTTTGCTTCAGCTTATTTTTCTACCATCTCATCTTCCCAAGGTCAAAACTACTCGAGGCTGAAATTGAAATGGTCACAATATTTTAAGTATTAGTATTCGAAATGTAATTTAAAATGCACGTTGAAAAGCTTGTATCCAAGCTGAACTTTAAATTAGGTTTCTTTTTAAGGAATAAATGACAGGAATGCATGGATCTGTACTGCTTTTTATTAATGGGTCAGGCTGCTGCTGCTGCTAGTGTTGTAATGGGGTGGGGGTTATTATCCTGGCACACTCTGGGCATCACAGCCTACCTGAGTACTGTTGCTGACCACGGTGTACATCTTCTGACAGCTGCTTCCAGCAGGATAACGAACCATGTCATAAAACTGAAACTGTCTCATGAAGATGGCAATGTTCACGGCAGTGTACTCAAATGTGCTCCACAGTCACCAGATCTTTTGGTAAGTAACTACAAACGATTATGAGGCTGCAAAATGAATACAAATGGGTTCAAAGAGACAAAATGAGCACAGATGGAAAAACAGTGCAAAATGAAACAAAGAGACTTAATAACCTTAAAGAGATGCACAACAACAGCAAGGCTAAAAACTCGTTTCATCTTTTAGTCTAGGTGAATTCTCTCCTGTTGTCCCAAAACTCAAGACATACTCTGGCACCTCAACAAAGACTCGAGCGTGGCTCTCATGCGGAGATGCCCCGAGTTACTATGTGGCAATGACTTGCAATTTTTGCAGTTACATTTTTGTTCTTGCTGTGATCAAACACAGAAGATATAAAAAACATGCTAATTAACGACTTTCATGTAGTTTCTCACCCAGTTTGTGAGGTTAAAAGGAAGCCTGGTGCTTTGTCCAGCTCAGTTTGGTGAAAACCGGAGCGACTGGTCTGCACCACCACCACGTTTGCATGGACTTCTATTAAGCTGCCTCATGTGACATTATGTGGACATTGGATGGAGGATACAATGAAAGATGTTTAACAGGGAATCACTGAGCGGTCTGTAGGCCAGGATTACTGGGACATTAGCAATCAGTTTCCCAGCTACCACTCATAACCAGTTGGGGAAAACTCACTTTTTTCTCTCAGGACTGGTGGTTGTGATTTGGTCATAGGCATATCTCAAGGTTTGTGAGATGGGGGTGTCTAATTCATGTAAAACTACACTAACTGTTCTTCCATTTTGGCTTCATGGGTGATCTCATAATGAGGACATCAGGGCTGTTTTAGATTTACAACAAAACTCCTAAAGCTCATGGAACAGGTAACCTACCTTTAGGCTGTGTAAAATTAACAGACGTGAGCTTTATTTTTTAAAACTTCATGGCAATAGTTTTATTAAGTTACGAAATCAACACATTTAAGAAATTTAACTATATACATTGGTTCTAATGTGTGGATTAAAAAAAAAGACAAAAAGAAGCTTGACACATCAAGCTAATACATCATACAGACGCTGAATTTCACATAGTCATAAATAATGATCAAATTATAATTACAAGCTTATATCATCATCACGAGTGAGGGGATGATTTTAAGAAAAATCTCCTAGGACTTATTTGTTCGTGTCAAGAATGAAGAACGCGTCACTGAATTCCTCTTAAATATCGCGAAGCTGTGCTATAAATTACATCAAGCATACCTACCATGTGTTCCATGGGAAACGGAGAAAAAGGCAGTGGTTTAAGAAATCATTTCTCATGAGCGACTGGTAAGCCTTAAAATAAACTTTGAAGCAGTTTCAGTAAGGTCATTTACAACAGGTAAGAGAGGCAGGGTTTTACCTTTAAAGCAATCAAATAATGCTAGCATTTGCTAATTTGTTCAAAATGAACAGAAAAAGAAAAAAAAGACGTGCAAAACGCTTCAGTCGGAACCCCTAGAGGCAAGCACCACAGTAAACAACTATGCAGGATGCTGGACATCGTAAAGTAGGGGCCTTTTAAATACAGAAAACTAGTGTTGAAACATTTTGCACAGCTCTGATTCCAGTGACTCGGTTCCTCAGTGTTCTTCTTTGTCTCGGCCTCTCTTTTCCTTTTCGTCTTGCAGAGCCCAGCTTCTTGATGAGTACTGACAGCACCTTGTCCAGTGGGTCCATCACACCCCTCTGCAGCCTTGGGAATTGTAGTCCTGGCATGGTGGAAGCCCAGTTTCTGTAAGATGTAGTCCACGCCGACTGGGTCGATCTTCCGACCCGTCCAGGAGATGAGCCTGAAGGTAGAGGTGAAGTTTAAGCATTGCTAAAGGTGCATGAAAAGAGTCCCTGTTGCTGCACGTCCCTTTCCATTAAAGAATTTGCTTCTTCCTTTTGAATCTCAGAGGAGAAGCTGTTGCTTTGTACAAAGATATTTCATATAAAGATTCAAAAATATTCTTTTTTTTAAATTAAAATCTTTGTTCTTTCCTGGCATTAATGAAGCAAAGTCTTTGTAAAGGGACTAAGATGCTTCATTTATTTAGTGTTTGTGCTGCATTTGTACAAATTCACAAAAGACTAACGATTAGTAATTATGAACTAGCATCTGAAAAAGGCTAAGGGGGTTAATAAGAGATACTGCACTGCAAAGTTATTGCTCATCCTGTGAAATTATACCTCTGTTCATTATTTTTTGATAAAGCTTATCGTTAGGGCTGATCGGGTGACCCTTAACCATCCCTTAGTTACGCTGCTACAGGCTCAGGCTGCTGGGAGACTTCCCATGATGCACTGAGCATTTCTTCTCTACTGCTGCATGTCATTAACTTTGGTCTTCTCTCTCCTGTAGTTTGAGTTTGGTCCTTATTTTTTCCTCTTCTTGCCTGAGCCTGCCTCTGCAGGACATTTCTTCCTGTGATAAAGGAGTTCTTCCTTCCTGCAATCACCTGCAAGTGCCTTCTCGGAGGTCGTCTGTTCGTGAGTCGGGTTCTCTCTATGATACTGTCTTTTTCTTACTGTATTACTAGGGCTATTAACCATACAGCTATAAATTCATTGATGTGAATCTAAGTTTTAACTGGCTCCACCTAAACTAGCCTCACACATTGCTTCTCACATATAAAAGAGTTACTAATATTAGTAAAAATCGATATATAACATTTAGATAACCAAGCACTGACAGCGCATCTTTCTGTTTCAAAACTTACATTTTTAATGGGCTAATTGCACTTTTACTTTTTACAACCCAGCTCATTAAATAGCTCATCAGCATCTCTGTGGGATCGAAAATATTCAAAGAGTCTTTACAAGATGATAAAACCCACAAAAATCCAACAAACAGAACAAAATTAGGCCATAATTGGGGCTCAGCTGTTCCACATCTTAGTGTTTGTGCTAGAAACCATCAAGAAATGGTTGTGCCGTTTCATCAACTAAACAGAAAATTAAAGCAATTTTTTTAAACCTTTGCTGCATTGTTTGTTTTTGTTGGTTTGTGCAATCATGTTTGCTTTGAGAACAAAGTTGTAGAAAAAGATGCTTCTTATTTTCTCCTCTAACATTTTTGAGTGAGCTTCAGGACTCCTGCTCATCATGTGAAAGTGTGCGTCTTATAATAACAAACAGATGCTGAGCTGACCTGAGAGTCGGCTCCAGGTGCCAGGTGTTGCACATGAACTCCCTCCAGTCCACCGTGGTGTAGTTGATGCTGTCGTCCTTGTCTTTATCCGCGGAGCTTTCATCGTGCAGGGCGGTGGGGCTCTTCTGGCCGGCCCGAGGGGCGAACATCCGCGGGGCAAAAAGAGCTGAGGACACCGAGGGAGAGAGGCAATCAGGTCTCTGCTTTGAAACGCTCCAGTTTTCTCTTCTAGCACATCCGTGAACAACAACATCAGAGCACAACATAGATGTGTCCTACTTCCATTAATCATAATGAATCAAACGTGTGAAAATCTGAAGCGCTCGCAGGGCTTCTCTTTCTACTTTGCTGCAGAATCAACAGAACAAAGTCGCGGCTGTTTTAATTGTGGTGATGAAAGCGAGGCTGAAAAAAGGCTAAATGCACAGAGGTTAGCAGGTGGATGTTGGTGCTCATATTAGAATTTCTGGGGAGAAATGTTCACTCATTTCTGCACCGAGTTAAAGATTTTGTTTTTAGAAACCCATCTGAAAGGCAGTGCAGAGATTTATATAGAAGCCAACAACATCTCGCTTTAGTAAAAGCAAATCAGTTACACTAGGATCATTTCAAATAAAGATCAGCACTGACAGAAGCCTGGAAAAGCTCGCTGTTCCCTGTGTCAGATGCCACATAAAAGCTGAAATTCTACAACAACTTAAAAGCCGGCAACGTAAACAACACACGGCCATCACAACACCCGAGTGCAGCCGCTGAGCACTCACGTGGGCGGTTGATGGTTTGGTCCCGCAGGAAGAGGCGTCTGGCAATACTTCAACGATACCAGGCTCTCGGGAAGGCCAGGATCTCACTCAGTCTTCTCATGTCGTACTTGAAGGAAGCCGAGCCGATGTCACACACAGCTGACGGAACAATATCACATTAGTGAGCATGTGAAAGACTTCTTTATAAGACTGCACAGGATAAGGCCACAGTTCTAAAAGCTACAGGGGGGAAAGTATGCACTTACTCTCACAGGTTGGAAAGACGTTTGTAAAATGTCCCATTCAGCAGCTCAAGCACTCGCTGTGAGATGCCTATTTCAAACCCTGCGTTAGAGCTCTTGTTGTTCCCACTCTCTTTTTACAGTGTGGCTAACCATTTTGGAGTGTTTCTTTTTGAACACGCAGGCTCTCCAGGATTGGTGCCTACGCTCACCATACATCCTGCCTTTCTGCTGCTTCTGGCCCGCCTCTGAATGACTGGACTGGTGCCCGGGCCTGTGCACCAGCCCTTGCAACACCTGCTCTGAAAAGTGGCTGTGATCTGTCAGTCAGGGAGGCTGATTTGGTATGAGCAGATCGTCATTGTCTCTCTTTTTATTAACTTGCTTGTCAGCGGTTTGTGCTTCCAGACGCTCATTTTCTTCGTACTAGTTTGCAGACACCTTATCGTGCATGCCTGCAGCTGCGTGTTGCAAAGGTTGTGCACTGGAGACCGGACAGGGTTTGCTGAATAACTTTATTGTAAAGTGACACTCGGGTTTTAAGGTTGCTTGTTCTAACTGTTTGGGTTTAATCTGGCTGTTTAATGGCGTAAAGCTCTTTCGCTATTTTTCCAATTTTCTTTTTAATCAGTTGGTAAATTTTTAATGGAATTCAAGTTGGGAGCCCTTTATTTCTTTGTTCTGACGAGCACCGTTTGCCCATGGCTCTTTCACTACTTCTTTTGTTACTTTGTGCTTTGCTTGGCTTCACCGTTTGTATTCATCACTTTCATAAAAAGATAACATTTTTGCCTTCAGCCGTTTCCATCTGGTTGTTTGTGTTACTGCCGTTACCCCCCGATGAGCTGGGGTCACAACAGCCTGCTTCTGTGCTGGAGTACATTCCCACGGTGCTGCTGATATGATTGAGTACTCAATACAGAGTTTCATATCCCTTAAAGATGCTTCTCTGAAAGGGTTTGCATCTGTTGTACGTCACTTCCACTTCATATACTCTGGCTGTATTTCTGACTGCTTTACAGAGAGAAAGAAAGGAGCAAGCTTCTTGATTCCCACTTTCAGTGAACATGAAATATTTAGCACTATGCAGGAGTTCCAAAAAAAACACAACGTTGTGAAAGTTCCTGCTGAGCTGGGACAAACTTTGAGACAGTTCACAGAAAGGATGGTCAACAAAAACACTGAGTCCCAGTCTTGTTAAGCACATCTGCCCAGGACTCCTCAGGCTGTGTGTGCTGACACACGCAACCGGATTTATTCCAGTTAACTAAAGTTCTTTGCCTTACGCTTATTTTCAGAATTTATTTTAGGTTTAGTTAACCCTCCTAAAAAACTGCAGCTGCTTACCAAATGTCACCCCCAACTGCATGATTGATGTTTTACCTTAAAAGCAATTTAAGTGATGCACTTAAAAGCAGACTTATGGTCCGCGTCAGTGTTCATTTCCCTACCACTCTCCCTGTGCACAGAGAAGGATTGTGGGAATTTTAACCAGCGGATTAGCAACACTGACGCGCTTGTGCGTCATCCTCAAACAAGCCAACACTGTGACGTAGAAGAAAAGGTGATGGGCTGAAAATCGGGGCTTAAAAAGTAACAAAAAAAGATAAAAAGCAGAGTTCACAACAACAAAGAAGAAGCACTGATGAAAAGCAGAGTGCAGAGAGTGAAGCATGTTTAAACACACAGCAAAACCAGTTCTATATATACACCATAACTAAGCTAAAGGACTGACAACAGCACAAACCTCAGCTTTAGCAGTGTTCAGTTCCAGTAGTTCAACATACAGTATATTTGACAGTCCCCCCACGTTAGCAGACGACAGATACAACATGAAAATATGGATCTTCAAAGCTCTGCGTGGTTCAGTATCAAAGCAGAATCAACACAGCACCATGCTGGAGCAAAGTCCTTCAAGAAGCAGGCCTCACGACTCAGCAGCCATCTTAAAATGGCTCAGTGTATTTATGCGGGCAGTCATGAGAACATAAAAATGCTGAACATAATCACAAGTCAAATCAGCTTTTGATCATTCTGCCCTAAAATCCATTTTTAACAAGTTCCCCCCCTGAACATTGCACTTTGACAAACACCTTCCTTTGCTGTTGCAAACTCTTCTATAAACCCAAGAATAAACCGACAACTTCTTACTTTGTATAACTTTGTGCTGCATAACAGAAAGCATATATTTGATAAAGATACCTCAACTTTTGCAGGAATTGTGTCAACTTCCCAATATTGTTATTATCTGTCTAATGGACAGGTGTTTTTCTCTGGAGACGACTGTGTACCTGAGATGTTGATGAGGGTGGTGTCCATTTTACCCCCTTTAGGAGGAGTAAAGCTCTGGATGAAAGTGGGGCCTCCTGTTCGCCTCATCCTCCATAAGCTGACCTTCACAAACTCCAGGTTGATGCTCAGAGAGTCTTGGGGGGGAGGAGATATGGGTGATGGGATCAGCTGTCATGTAATTGTTTTACATCAATCCTATCTACAAGAGGTGCATTTATTAGTGGATAAAATGCAGTCCTGTATCTTTAACAGATGAGAATAACACAAATGTTTAGCATACCTAACGGCCCTTGGCCCGGAGGCAACCCCGTGACTGCAGATTTCTGCTTTCCGGTGCCGTAGGGGTGGAAGACGTAGAGGGAGAAGTCAGACATGCAGGCTGTAAAGCTGAGGCCCGAAGAGTTACTCGGGGGCCCGGTGAGGTCGGACTGGCTGCTGCTGTGACGGCTTCTGCCCAGAGGGCTCCCCAACAACGGAGATGCTGGAAGGGGGCAGGAGAGACAAACAAATCACCCAGTCACACACTCATTAACAGCACTATACACTTATATATAAGTCTAACATCCTATAATGCATTAGCACTAACACAATTTCAGGATGGAAAGCAGTGAGCTACCAGCTGTCCAACCTGTGCATTTAGTGACTCACAGATTTCCAAGACCTGAGATGCATCTTAACATGCATCATCTGGCATAAAGACAGACTGGAGAGAAGAGTAATGAATGCAGGAGAACATGCTGCAAGCAACATTAACTCACACAGGGCTCAGACATGCCATGGAGTGGCAGCTAATAGATATTCTCACGGTGTGCGTTCACATATCTCTGCACACATTAGAGCGCCATTATTTTGCCAAAATAAACGGGGAAGTCATGCTCTAGATACCTTTGCTGGGAGGTGGTTTGGGGATATGCTGCCCGGGTGGAGTTGAGGAGGGCTGGTGTGACCCGTCTGTCACATGGGCTCCTGTCGGGGTCTCCAGCTCTCTACGGTTAGAGGAGAAGACCAGGTCTAACGAGGGCAGTTTGAGCATACACTCCACCCTGGACATTGGCAGGCAGCTGAAGCGGATCTGAGAGGGCTGGAAACAGAAGACAGTAGATGTTTTCATACACTAAAATTCTCATTTTAGTGTAAATTTATGACTTGTAATTGTTATTTGTCATAATACTTTCCTTGTGCTTTTAGTTTTTTCTTACATATAACACATTAATTATTATTTATATAAACAGTCGACTCAAATTCCAAAGCAGCTCTGAAGAAATTGCACGAACGACAGCTCATCAGTACCTGGACTCTGACGTGGACAACCACATCCACGGGGAAGGAGGAGTACGCCGACGTTAAAGAGGAAACCAGGGAGGTGGTCGATTCCTCGAGCTGTTCCACTGTATCAAACTGACCCATGTCTTCCTCCTGGGATGCCACAACTGATGGAAAGACATCAGAAGAAGTTTACTATGAATATCAAGACACACAATTCCTCCAGGAACACGGTCCCAAAGGACTGGTTTTAAAAACACACCTGTGTAGTTTCCACTGGAGTGATAGGAATTGTCTCAAGTGCTTTTTCCAGAAAGTCCAGCAGACAGGGGCTGATCTCCATCTCCTCTGGCAGGGTCTGGAGGGCCACCCAGGCATACAGCTTGGCCGTCTTTACCCCTCCACTGCTCTTACCTTTAGCTGCAAAGACACATGAAAGTCATCTCCACACTCTAATAGCACTTTCAGAAGTTTGTTTCTTGAACTTCAAATAAACTGGAATCATATTAACAGAGGTTCTTTTAAACTGTCTTTTTGAGTCTCTCCCTCTGTGGGGTGCATCGATATGCATGAACCCATTTGATCAAAGGGTGCCCTCTAGATCCATGCCTTTAAAAAAAAAAAAAAAAAAAAGGGGGATGGAATCGCATGCATTTGATTTGGACGGTCCACGTGTAGATTTAAATCATCGGATCGAAGAGGCGTGGCACTCTAGTGTTGGCGATTACGGATGGTAGAAGGGCATGCAATTAAATGAGGGAATGCTCAGTACCTGATGGAATAGGTGGGGGCGGGGGAGGTAGGAGCGAGTTAGTCTTGCTTTGGACAGCATTGGGAGGATTTGGAGGGCCGCTATCTTTCATACCATACAGCTTCGACTCTTTGGAGAGAGTGCGGGGGAGAGAGGATCCACGCGAGGCGTTGGGTGACTCCATCTTCAGGGTCTTGGAGTTGTAGTGCAACTGCAGGGAAAATAAATGAAAAAATAATTATTTAAAGCACAAAAAAACTCTTGGCAGTTTGGATGATGTAGGAGAAGCTGACCTTAACGTCCACTCCTGGAATGTAGAAAACTGTCATTGGATTTGGTCGGCAGAGTGGAGGGACACTTCTTTCCAGCTAGGAGATGGCTGGATGAGGGGTAGTTGGGCTGGAGCTTCCTCTTCTTGGGAGGAGATTCTTGGTCCAGGTTTCGGAGGCTGCGCTCACAGTTCCTATAAAACCCAAATTACTTAACTGAATATAGAATGTCTCATTTCTTCTGTCCAGTGAGGATAAACCATCACAGCTGTTCAGGCACTTCTTCTAATATAGAGTCAGATTTAATCTACGCTTAATACTACATTTGGGAGGAAATGTGAGACCAACTTTAAATAGGAGTTTGTATTTCCCAGATTGAGAACTTTTTACTGCACCTCCTCAAAGAAACATCCTCGTGCTCGGGCTGTTGAGTAGTAGGGTGAAGGACGCACTTCCCGCTGTCGATTTCCACACGGACATCCAGCTCAAAGTCAATGTTTCTTTCCGTTGTTGGGCCACTGAAGCTGCGGTTGGCAGGAGTGCCTGGCCAGCGCTCACTGAGCGACGGACTCACAGCAGAAAAGCCCGACGACTTTCTCTGAGACGTTTGGCTGAGAATCAGGGAGGACAGCACCGTTTAGTGAATGCTGAAAATTGGAAGGCTTTTCTTTTTTAGACAAAAAAGAAATTAATGGCGCTTTCTTTTCCTAACTGTCATAACAAGTATGCCTGCACTGACAAATGCAATAAGACAACTCACACAGGCCTTCGATAGCTCTGCTGTCTGTCACGCTCGAAGTCGTCTTTGTCCGAGTCTTCCGAGGAGGAAGAGGACAGGTCATCGCGCCTTATGTCGTCATGCTGAAAGGGAAGTGTGGGTGAGAAGACAGCAGGGGTGGCGGGGGCACTGAAAACTGAGTGATGACCATCGACAACAGAGGTGGAGGTGATGAGGATGGGATGAATCGTCAATGGAGACTGTCGACAGTGATGAGGAATGACAGCTTGAAACAAAGGAAGAAGATGAGGATGAGAAGATGACATACCCCGTCTCAAGATGGTGACAACAGAAAAATGCCCAAGAAAGTGTAGAAGTATCCTTATGACAGACAGGGAAAAAGCCCATTTGTGTAGTGTCGACAGATCCCAAACACACTGACGGAGGCTGAGCATCAGTTAAATTAGAAATAATCCATCTGCGACACAAATACTCCTTATAGGACAATAAAGAGTTTTATATGAATGTGGTATTGATTTATTGAGCAAGTCTTGTTCTTTCATCAAAGAGTTAGAGATTATTATTATTTTTTAATTAATATTAGGATTATTGTTATCAATTTCATTGTTAATGATTTTATTGAAAAAAAAGAAAGATTTACACTCACCGAGAAAATAACACAACTGCACAACAGATTCATCACCATTCAGTTACGGTGCTGAGCAAATAAACCCAACAAAAGCTCCTTTGAGAGATTAAATAACTCATGTCATCAAAGGAATTTTGATTATGCTATTGACAAATATTTTAAGTGGCTACAGGTAATATGAAGCGGCTGTGTGCAGGCAGGAAAAGGATCCAAAGTGCAGACTCCGGAGACAGATGTGAACTCAAAAAAAGATAACAAAACTGAGACTCCAAAAAATAAACTCAGGCAAGCAGACAAAACACAGCATCGTAAATGGTAGATCACGACACAGACACAGAGAAACACAGGGCTTAAATACACAGAGGGAGCAATCAGGAAATGGGTAACAGGAGGGAAACACAGCTGGGGCAAATCAGGCCTAACGAGACAGGGGAAGCGAAACCAGATACATTAACATCAGACATGGACCTTCAAAATAAAACAGGAAACATAACACAGACTGAACTAAAGACACAGACTCGCATGCAGGCACTGCAACAGAGGGAACAAAGACATGGGACCAGGACAGACACTGACTGGACACGGGGATATAGCAACTAAGGATACACAGAGACATAAACCATAAGACATAACTGTAACGAAGAAACCAAAGAATAGAAATGATAAATAATACAATAAACTCAAAACCCTGGGTCAACGACCCAGGCATCCTAACAACAGGTTGCTTGGCAACTACATAATAAGGTCACCATTTCATTATAAGACTTCAATCTCTTGGTTTTGTTAAAATTAAGTAAAAATAAAAGATTTTTTAAAAATCATCTTTTATGATGGATTATGTGACGTTCACACATGCCTGTGACCACCTGTTTAACCCTAAAATTTCACTTGGACTTTTTAAAAAAATTGTTAATAAGTAATTAAAACAGTTGGGTAGGGGAGGGAACTTTCTTGTGGCTTCTGAAGAGAAAGGATTGTCTGAAAAAGGTTTGGGAGCCACAGTTCTGAAAGTTGTTTGCAGTTTATGTTTGCAGTCATGGCTTCACGACCGCAAATAATAAGCAAGTTTTCTTATATAGTTATTATTCTCCTCAACACACATGAGTGCCGTCTTCACAGTATGAGCCACAAATGCCGCTTCAGGGATGTGGGGTTAAAGAGAATGGATTCTTTTCCCCAGAATGTCTGAGTTATTATTTGTGATTGTGCCATTTTAAAAGGTAAACTGGTGACTTTATATTAAACGTATTATTTATTTTGTCCTTGTGAAGTCGCACTTTTCTCCTCTCCTCCTCTCCTCTCCCTTAGCTTCCCTGCTTAGCCTCTTGTGTCCTTGTCTAGTCTCGTGTTTTTTGTATTACTTTTCCCTGGATCACTCTCTCACAGTCTGTTCTCTAAAATAAGTGTATGTATGAGGTGATCCAGTAATGCTGCACTAATGAATTAGACTAACTATTCACTTTAGCTAAAGTTATTAAGTTAGCTAAAGAGTTGGGATGCTGTGTAAGACATAAATAAAGCTAAAACACAAAGGTTTGGACACCGTTTTGCATGTTTCCCTACTGTAGGGATCTCTGCAAGCATACAGAGGGGGTACTCTGAGAGGGTCCAAGATGACAACTTTGGAATTCTTCTAGAAACAGTCGATCATATTTGTTTGTCAAAGCTGAATTCAGGACAAACTACGCTAAATTAGCGTTTTTAGCTAGCAGCTACAATAAGCATAAGTTACTGTACGGCTATCATTTGTTAACATGACGCTTGTTCTTATACATGTAATACATTTATTACCAACCTGCGAGTTTATCCGCTGGTCATTCAACATGACGAATGACTTCTGAAGTCTGAATTCAGCTCAAGATGCTGTAGATTCCCGTCAGTAACACTTTCGGTCCGCTAGTAAAACGTAGTTCTATTAATCTG